ATCAAATGATCAGAGCATAGTGAAAAATAATCACAGACTATGGACCCTTCAATTGGGTATAATGTAAGATAAACACACAAGAATACATACATTTCCAAGACAGGTTAATCAATTACCATACTGAGACTATTCCAATAATCAAAAAGGCAAAAAGCAAAAGTCAGACTCGTACCAGAAGCAAAGATCAGTGTCAGTCGTAAAATAAGTCAAAGAATGTACACTAGACAGACAAACAACCAACCAAAATGCAAGAAATGTATTCACCAAACAGATTTTATAATCCCAAACACAACAAAAAACTAACATTGATATTCAAATTGTCCATCATAAGCAAACAATCATCAATAAATGTTGCATATGTATGATGTGAGGATGCATAATTCGCATGATTAGAATGATCACCCAAGATTCAGAGCATAATGCAAAAGAAACTAACACCATAATATGCATGCATGAGTCTCAAATACGTTTAGAATAACTATCTACATGAGCAACTCCAAGATACATCTATTTTTCAAAATGAGAGGCCTTATGATACACACAAGCACCACAACAAGATGATAATTGTTTTTCTATTCAGGATAGAGATTACTGAAACTGTAAACACAGAATTGTAACGTAAGCAAGAAGTTTTGTACCACTTTATCAAATGGATATGGTAGGAAATAAATATCTACAAGAGATTCCAAGATACACTCACACACAAGCACCAATTCAAGCATAAAACCAAGACAGTGGTTACTCAATTCAATCAAATGTTCCTGTACCAAAAATAAAATCTACCATTTCATCAATTAATTGAGTATTAAATAAATACTTAAACGGCACTTAAGATCAGTATTTTTAAGGTCCTATTTTTCACTACGTAGATAAACATAAATTAACTTAGTTTGTGATTTTCATATGAACTAATATCAATTTAATACAGAAAGAACTAGAAAGCTCATACCTGTGAAGTCTCTCTGTCTGAAGAGCAGATAAGTCCTTGAGAATTATGAAAACCTATATATTAAAGAGAAACTAAAATGGCACTTAGATGAGTATTTCAAACTTTACGTATATATACATAAACTTCACTTAATTTGTCATTTTCATATTTAATAATATCAACTAAATACAGAAAAATATAGAAAAGTGCATACCTGCGAAGTCATTCTGTCTGAAAAAAGCAGAGAAGTCCATGCGAATATGAACACTTTCTCCTTTAAAAAAGAATATGAACACTTTCTGTAGCATATACCTGAAAAAATCAAAATTAGAAATAGTTAGTCTCTACTTCAAGCAAAACACCTCATAGTCTCATACTTACCTTGTCACTTTCAAGGCGCAGATCATGAATCGTCTTATACATGGTCTTTGTCTCAAGACTCATTCTCCAAGTCTTTGTCTTAACTCTTTTGTAAGCCGTGGGTAAACTAAGTAATCTTTTCAAAGTCTTTGTCTTAAGACTATTACTTTTTAAGCCGTGGGTTACTAAGACTCATTGTCCAAGTCTTTGTCTTAACTCTTGTAAGCCGTGGGTAAACTGAGTAATCTTTTCCAAGTCTTTGTCTTAAGACTATTACTCTTTTTAAGCCGTGGGTTGCTAAGACTCATTCTCCAAGTCTTTGTCTTAACTTTGTTATAAGCCGTGGGTAATGAGTAATCTTTTCCAAGTCTTTGTCTTAAGACTATTACTCTTTTTAAGCCGTGGGTTACTAAGACTCATTCTCCAAGTCTTTGTCTTAAGTCTGTTTTAAGCCGTGGGTAAGCTGAGTAATCTTTTCCAAGTCTTTGTCTTAAGACTATTACTCTTTTTAAGCCGTGGGTATACTAAGACTCCTTCTCCAAGTCATTCTCTTAAAGACCTTTTCCCTAAGACTCCTTCTAAGCCGTGGGTAATAGTAAAGCAAAGAATCCTTTTCAGTTCTTTGCCTTAAAGACTTGTATAAGCCATGCTTAAGACTTCTTTAAGCATTTGTTCATTTTTCCATCGAGAATCTCTTCCCATAGTCTGTCTTTTCGAAAAATTTCCAGCCTTTGATCGTTTGTTGTCTAATGGCTTTCCTCTTTTAAGCCTTGTGTTTCTGTTTTTCAGCCTTGTTGAAGGAATCTGTTTTGGTTCATAGTCTATGTCTAGACTGACGGATCCAGCAAATCCAAAAACCGACCCAGTCTTTTTCTAAAGACTTTTTTTCAAGCCGTGGGTACTAGCTTAAGACTTCTTTCAGCATTGGGTCATTTTTTCCATCCAACAGATCGAGACTCTGCCGATAGTCTCCGTCTTTACAAACTTTCCAGCCATTGATCGTTCTTTGTCTGATGGCTTTTTCCTTGTGTTTATAGTCTCTGTTTACGGGTCATGGTCTCTGTTTTTAAGACTTATGTAAGCCTTGTGGTCATATTTCAGACTTACTTTTTCGGTTCATAGTCTTAGTCTATGTCTCTAGACTGATGGATCAACACATCAAAAAACTGATCCAGTCTTTTTCTAAAGACTTAAGTCGTGGGTAAGTATAAATCTGTTTTAGACATTTGTCTTTGTCTCAAAACATTTTTCAAGCCGTGGGTACATGCAAAGCAGCAGTTTTCACTACTTTCTCTAAGTCGTGGGTACTAGCTTAAGACTTCTTTAAGCATTGGGTCATTTCTTCCATCCAACAAATCGAGACTCTGCCCATAGTCTCTGTCCTTACAAACTTTCCAGCCTTTGATCGTTAGTTGTCTAAGGGCTTTAGCCTTGTGTTTATAGTCTCTGCTTTTAAGACTTATGTAAGCCTTGTGGTGTCATGTTTAAGACTTACTTTTTTGGTTTATAGTCTATGTCTCTAGACTTTGTCTTTGTCTTATAACTTTGATAAGCCGTGTGTGTCTTGCCTTTCCTTAAGCCGTGGGTACAAGTAAAGGGTCTTTGCCTTTAGACTTTTTCTTAGCCTTGGGTACAAGTAAAGCAAAAAATCCCTTTTCAAGCAAAAGTCTTTGCCTTAAGAGTCTTTCTTAAAGACTTTTTATAAGCCGTGGGTAGTAGTGAAGTAGTGAATCCGTTAAGTCTTTGTGTAAAGACTTTTATAAGCCGAGGGTAGTAACGGATTCACTACTTTTCTCAAGCCGTGGGTACAAGTAAAGGGTCTTTGCCTTTCGACTTTTTCTTAGCCGTGGGTACAAGTAAAGCAAAGAGCCCCTTTTCAAGTACAAGTCTTTGCCTTAAAGACTCTTTTACCATCCAAGTCAAACCAGTTTATAGTCTTAGAGACTTTTGATAAGCCGTGGGTAGTAGTAAAGTAGTGAATCCGTTAAGTCTTTGTGTAAAGACTTTTATAAGCCGAGGGTAGTAACGGATTCACTACTTTCTCAAGCCGTGGGTACAGGTAACACGTCAAACCCTTTTTTATAGTCCTCAGACTCTCTAAGCCATCGGTCATAATTCCCATCCAACAAGTCCAACTCATAGTCTTTGGCTAAAGACATTCAAGCATGCACTACCAACCAACTCATAGATTTATTTTCCATTCCTTACCATCCTTTGTGCATGCACTACCAACCAATCAAACGGGACATTCTCTGTTTTTATAGTCCTAAGACTTTTTTATAAGCCGTGGGTGTAATAAAGTAGTGAATCCGTTCAGTCTTTGTCTAAAGACTTTTATAAGCCGTGATTCACTACTTTTCTCAAGCCGTGGGTAGTAGTAAAGTAGTGAATCCGTTCAGTCTTTTGTCTATAGACTTTTAAGCCGAGGGTAAAGTAACAGATTCACTACTTTTCTCAAGCCGTGGGTAGGTAAGTAACGGTTTCACAGTTTATAGTCCTTAGACTTTAAGCCATCGGTCATGTTTCCCTTCCAACCAAGGCAGCAAAACCCATAGTCTTTCTCGAAAAGACTTTCAAGCTGTGTATTTTATTTTTCATCCCCTGACTTTCCCTTTCCTTAGACATGCACTACCAACCAATCAAACGGGACATTGTTCCCAAACAAGATTCTGACAAAACACTATTAGATTAGTGTCTGCCAATGATCTTTTGGGTTTAAAACTTTGATAAAACCAATGCTTTGAAAATCTTGATAAAAGCAGAACCAAAGCGAAAAGGCTTTGAGTTTTATAAAAAGAGGACAAGACCAAAAAATAACGAGTAAAAGAGCTAACCTGTTTTCTGCCGTTCATGTAATCGATGAGAACTGATCGTATGGTTTTAGCTGAATCTCCATCCAAGTAGGCATTCGAATTCCTTCCCCTGCACATATGAAAACAGCAAAATAAGTAGGCTAAAAGAGTTGATGACAATTAATTACACATATTCGATGAATAGAATAAGTTTGAAAACTGTTTTGCTAAGAAATGTCAACAAATAATACAACTTTTGCTGGTACGTATCTCTGAGACTTTAAAGAGAGACTGATTTAGTGATTATTGGATGGCTCCAATTACAGGGTACAGAATCCAAGCAAGATATGTTGCCGCAGCAATGGAAAGACCTTCCACTTGTGAGAAGAGCAAAATAAAACCAATCCGGGAAGTTAAAAGCCAAAGCCCTGAAAGAAGATACAACAACATCTTTCAAAAACCACACACACGGACATGTATATGCATAGATCAAACAAGTTTTATTTTTATGTAAACTTACCATTCGGTTTTGTCATCTAATGCTTGCAATTAGTATCTCGTCGTTGTTGCTTAGGAACAGTAATTGGTTTACTGATAGTATGAGCAGAGGAGCAGCCAAGATTCTCAGAAATTGACACTGGAAAGGAAAGTATGCATCAGAGGATGGCAACAAGGTCTTGAAATGATGTCAACTATTGCAGAGATCAAACTCAAAGACTGAAAATGCATCAGAAATCAGAAAGCAAGGAAGAAGCAAAGCATCAGAGATTCAGAGATGAGACGGCATAAGGTTAAATGGAACTCACGTAAGCAAAAACCGCTAAGCAGATGATGATATCGCGCCATTCCACCCCATCTTTCAAGATACTGGAAACATCTTGTGGATCTTGATACCAGAACATGCTCCAGACAGTGGATCATCACAAAGTCTCTGAAACAAGAGAGCACAAGACCCCGCCTTGTTCCATCTCTCGGAAGAAGAAGAAGACGATCCAGAAGAGCCAGACGACCGCTTCGTGCCGAGCAACTGTCCCAGATCCTGTAACGAGACGGAAGATGGCGGAGAAGGGACCGGCGGCGGCAGATCGGGGCTTATCGGAAGAGAGGGAGGAGGATTCGTTGTCGGAGATGACGCAATCGACGCGAACGACGACATTCTCGACCTGGGGAACGAGGGAATGGAACCTCTTGGAAACAACGCAGCAGCGACCAAGGGCCTTGACATCGCCGATCTTGTTGAAAACGAGTAGGAGGATTGAGTCGGGGAGGTAATCGAAGTGGTCGATTTCTAGGGTTTGGGGCTCCGGGTGGATCCGAGAGAGCGGATCTGAACGGAGAATTACCGCCATAGAGTAGCGAATTGGGAGATTTTTCCGATTTGAGAAAATGATGGAGGAGGAAGAATCAGATCTTTGAGAGAAGATAACGCACTGAGAGAGGTTTGTGGAGAGAGAGAGAGAGAATGATCTTCGAGTTTTTTGATTTTTAATTTTTGATTTTTGTCCCTAGTTTGAAGAAGAAGATAAATTACATGGTTAAGCAAAAGCGCGTGTGGCGCGTGAGAGAGATTACAAGTTAATCACATATTTCAACGGATATATTTGATAATTTTGTCCACAAGGACATTAAAATTAAGAGGGTAAATAAGAGTAGATTTAAAAGTAGGAGCCCCAGTATTACAATTGTACATACATCTTGGCCTTTACATCAACTAGGAATGGAACCTGCGCGTCAACGCGCGGTACATTAACATTCATAATTAAAATTTAAATTATCCCATAATACTATACCTTTTAAAATATTTATTTTATTTTACAATATACAACATATGGGTTTTAATTTAGACAGATTTTATTTTATTTTTATAAAGTTCAAAATTAATTCAAATAACATTTTTGACCCATATATATGTGGGTTCGGAAAACCACACTCAAAATTTATGTGTATTTTGTAGGGAGAAATTGCCTGTGGAATCAGAGGTTAGATTCTGATGTAAGTCGAATGATTCGTAGACAAATATTTGACGAAATCGGACTTAGGCTAATCGAATAAAGTGGTTACAAAACCGGCCTGAAAGACCATGTAAAACACTAGGATTCGACTAAGCAAAAGAGATGGAAATTAGGTGGTGGCTGCGCTCGTGTAACGAGCTGCCTACGTACCCTGTTTTAGGGATCAAGCCAGAACGTAGTTCGATTGTAAGTTGTTCTCTATTTCGAGTCGTTTTCTGAAGAGAAATGACCACGAAAAGAGCTAAAGGGGTGTGAAGATGACGATAAATCTCAGGTTATCGGAGTGATCCGAAGGTAAGAGATTATGTCGAACTTCTGCCGGAAGTGATTTCCGGCTAGAAAGATCAGGGCTTTCTGGGATTATCTCAAAGACCAAGGATAAGATCGAAGAGATATGGATGTATCTCAAGCGAAAAGAAGCTATCAAGATGAAGAACTTTGTTCTCAGAAGTGAGAAAGATAGAGATTTTTGTCCAGGAAAGGAACATTCTGCCTTGTGATCAAGAATCGTCCTCTTTTTATAGCTCCGAAGTAGATCGCAACCTCCTCCGCGTATCTCGTCCACGTGCAACTACCGATCCCGCTATTTCCGGATCTGAACAGTCGAAGCGAGATTCTCGTTTGACTCGTTCAAACTCAGCTTGTGGACTCGACTCCGTCGAGCTAGAGCTCGACTTCGTCTTCACAAGTAGCTCGGACAGTAAACAGCTGGATTTTGGACAAGGATACTTGGTGGGCTCGAGGTCACTTTACTGGGCCTGAGTGGACTTATCTTGATCTTAGGACTTAGGTGATGGGCCTTATGGGCCGGATTTCTGGAGGGAAATCCAGGTCCAACAATAGCCCCCCAGCTCATTAAGTGGTATAATCGAACTTAATGAGCGGTAGGTTGTTTTAAAAATTGTCCCGCAGTCCCGTCGAACTAAATCATGACTTTGAATAGTCATTAGAGATCGATGGTCGCAAACGGGAAGGCGAGAGATCTTTGAGATCTTGCCGTTGAATGATAGTTTCACCTTGAAAGACAAGGTAATAACTTATTCTTTTAGATCGAAAATAGATCGAAGAGCTATTATGATCTTAAGAGTCGAGCTTTTCGAGAGTAGTGAAAACCTTAGGAGAAGATTTGCGATTATCAACTCTTTTAGATTGTTTCTCGAGAAGGCTTTTGGTTTAACTAACTCAAACATTGCGCGAGCTCTTTTTGAGTTAATCGATTATTTTTCGAGTTCGACCAATTGTTGATTAAATTCTTTAATCGAACTTGGTCGCTTTAAGTCGGACTGTTTTTCCGACTCGAAATCGAAAAAGGATACGACCAAATGAATTTTAGTCGGTTTGTTTGATTGAATTCTCGCATAAGATTTTCGGCTGACCGAGAAATCTAGCAGAAAAGACTTTTCCAACTCTTCCTGAAAGTTGCTTCAAGTTAAACTGATTTCTTTTTGAAATTTCGAGTCCTACTTGGCATGATTTCGACTAAGTATTTGTTTTATTTAGGTCGAGCTAAATAAAACTTAGTCTTTGGTTCGAATGTTATTTCAACCAAATGGTCGAGCTTATCGTTGAGCTAAGCTGAACAAAGACTTAGTCAATATCTTTGAAGATATTCTTAAGGTCAGGTTAGAATCTGTTGAGAATCTAGCTCGATCTCGGAGATGTTCTCGAATTTTAGCTCGAGAATATGGCAGAGTGCTTGACTGCCATTCAAATCAGACTAAGTGAGACTTAGTTGATTTCTTAGGATCATATAGGATCAAGCAAGAATCTATTTAGAATCGAGCTTGACAAGATGGTATATGTCCCGAGCGAACTTCGAATCGAGCTCGATGCTGCGATAGAGAAAGTTTTTCGCTGTAGTGACTTGGGCAAGTCATATGTTTTGCTTCGGATTTAACACCTGTGTAGGTTTTCATCCATTTTTAGCAACAAAATTTTGTTTGTTACGTTTTTCGCCGCGTTCCATCTGTTACAGATTAGAGCCCGACTTCGAGTATCCCACCTCTTGGAAGAGAGAAGATTTCTCGCGAGCTATCGTTTTGTGAACGATCTGCAAAGTCGGCTGCCACTCGTTGTGAGCAAGCAATCCAATCTAGAGCTAATGGAGTTGTGGAGATTGTCCACGTTGCGGTTGAATATACTCTTCGTGATGAAGTAGTAGGTCAGGTTCTTCATGCTGCTATCGGGGATGATACCCGAGTGACTCATTTGAGACGAACTATCTCGTTGAGGTCGAATAGCGAACAATGAGGATGGAGCTCGAAATGAGCAAGAGATGATAATCGTACTCCGAATTTGTCGAGCTCCTTGAAAAAGCGAGTTAACTCGACGGCGAGTCCGTCATCCCTTGTAATGATAGATTGTTCGAAGGATGTGCCAGTTTTGGATAATCCTTGAACATTCATGTTGCGCCAATGCGGGCCTGCTGCAGATCAATCTCCAGTTTTGGATATGACGCTCGAGAGGGAGCTGTATGCGGCAGCGATGGCGGCGGATGAGAAGGTATGGTTTTACCTTTTCTAAGTTTTTGCCGATGATTTGATATCTTCGGACTTAATATTTGCGATTTCTTTATCAAGCTTTGAAGGTGAACATGAAGCTCTCTGCTCGTTGTGAACAAAGGTTACATGAAGCGTCTTGGCAAGATGAGCTTGATAAGATGAAACAGAGATGAGCTCGATACTAAGCTCGATATGAGAGATAGAGTAGCTCGTCAAAGCGGCTTGCTAAGGATGAGCTCTATTCTCGTTTAAGTTTTGAACAAGTTAGCCCAGCAAGGTTTTTATGCTTTGCCTTTTGGATTTGGTGCCTGGAAGGCTTTTATCCTTTTATGTTCAAACTTGTTTGCTCGGAATGAGCTTGGTGTTTGATAATTTTTCTTAGACGTTTGATGTCTTAGAGTTTATCTTTGTTTTCCAGATCAATTGACTGTTAGCTCGATTGTTCGAACATTAGTCGTTTTGGTTTGATTGGAGATTTGACCTAGCGTGTCAGCTAACTGGTCGGACCGGATGAAGCTCAGTTGATCTCTTTGAGAATCGTATAAAGTTGAGCTAGTTTCTTTTTGAATTCCAGCTCGAGCTTTTAACGTGTTGAGCTTCAACTTGGAAGGTTGCGTCGGGTTGAGCTAACCTTTGTCGGTTGAAACGACTGATTTTAGATGATCGTCTGAATTCAGTAGGTGGTTCTACACAATCAGCACTCGAGCTTCATCTTTAAAGATTTCTTTAAGTCGAGGTGATTTCCTATCAGACTTTTAGTCGGATTCACCGGTGTTTGCCAATTGCGTGATTTTGTAGATTAATCAACATGATCAGCAGTTGGGCTTGATTGAAGAAAGACTGCTCGGGGCCGAGCTGATTTCCTTTAAGATTATCAATCGGATTCGATTGGATCCAGTTGTGTGATTTTGTAGATTGATCTACATGATCAGCTCTGGAGCTTTATGGTTAAAGACTGCTCGTAGGTGAGCTAATCTCCTATTGAATTTTCAGTCGGGTTTGACTGGGTTTTGCCAATTGCGCGGATTAGTAGATTGATCTACATGGTAAGCATTTGGACTTGATCTCAAGGACTGCTCGGAATCGAGCTGATCACCTTTCAGATGTTTAGTCGGATTCGACTAGGTTTTGCCAATTCGTGTGGAGTAATTCGATGTAGCCGGTTTGATTGTTTAAAGAGACTGCTCGGGGTTGAGCTGATCCCTTTAAGATTATCAATCGGATTTGATTGATGCCAGTTGTGTGATTCGTAGATTGATCTACAGATCAGCACTTGGGCTTAATCTTCAGGACAGCTCGGAGTCGAGCTGATCACCTTTCAGATCTTCAGTCGGATTCGACTGGCGTTTTGCTAAGTATTCGATGTCCTTAGGAGTAATTCGAATGTTTAGCCGGTTTGGATTGTTTAAAGAAAGACTGCTCGGGGTCGAGCTGATTTCCTTTAAGATTATCAATCGGATTCGACTGATGCCAGTTGTGTGATTTCGTAGATTGATCTACTCGATCAGCACTTGGGCTTAATCTTCGAGGACAGCTCGGAGTCGAGCTGATGACCTTTCAGATCTTCAGTCGGATTCGACTGGCGTTTTGCTAAGTATTGATGTAGGATTGAAATTTTAGCTGATCAGCACTTGGTCTTAATCTTCGAGGACCGCTCGTACTCGAGCTGATTACCTTTCAGATCTTCAGTCGGGTTCGACTGGCATTTTGCTAAGTATTCGATGTCCTTAGGAGTAATTCGAATGTTTAGCTGATTTGGGTTGTTGGGCCCAAAGTTTGTTTTTAGTCCTAGACCGATGGTAGGTTCTAGGTGATCTCTAGGATTAGAATTGATCTCTCTTCCTAGCTTCTGAAGTCGATCTCGACCTCCTTCGCATATCTCGTCCATGTTCAAACTGCCATTCTGGCTGTTTCCGGGGCTCATCGGTATAAGCAACATTATCACATCACACGCAAAGTCCAGCTATTTCATGGTCTTATCGGTCTGCAATATCGTCACCCGACTCAAACAGACCAGCTATTTCATGGTCACATTGGTCTAAGCGATATTACCGCCTGACTCGTACAGCTCGGACATTACCGGAGCTCATCGATCTCAGTAGTATTATCGCCAAACACGTACAGCCCGGTCTTGAAGACTTGATTCCGTCGAGGTATTACTCGACCTCGTCTTTACAAGTAGCCCGGATGTAGTATGTACTTAGATAAGTATACTTGATGGGGTCAAGGTCAGCCTTACTGAGCCTGGACGGACTTTTCTTAGTCTTAGGATCTTGATAGTTGATGGTGGCTGCGCTCGTACTTCGAGCTGCCTACGTACCCTGAATAGGGATCAAGCCTAACGTAGTTCAGGTTCTAGACCGAGAATAGGTTCTAGATGATCTTTAAATTAGAGTCGTGCTTTTTTCATAGCCTCTGAGGTCGTTCTCGTCCTCCTCCCCAACTGTTTCCAGGGCTCATCGGTATAAGCAACATTACCGTCAGACACGTCAGACCAGATATTTCATGGTCTGTTGGTCCGAGCGATATCGTCACCCGACTCGTGAGATCCAGATAATTCCGGAACTCATCGGTCTGAGCGATATTACCACCTAACTTGTACGGTCCGGACATTACCGGATTCCGTCGGTCTAAGTAATATCACCGCCCAACACGTACAGCTCGGCTTGAAGACTTGATTCCGTCGAGGTATTACTCGACCTCGTCTTAACAAGTAGCTAGGGTAGCATATCTGCTTGGACAGATATGCTTGGCGGGGTCGAGGTCAGTCCTCCTCCCCAACTGTTTCCAGGGCTCATCGGTATAAGCAACATTATCGTCAGACACGTCAGACCAGATATTTCATGGTCTAGTTGGTCCGAGCGATATCGTCACCCGACTCGTGAGATCCAGATAATTCCGGAACTCATCGGTCTGAGCGATATTACCACCTAATTTGTACGGTCCGGACATTACCGGTTTCCGTCGGTCTAAGTAATATTACCGCCCAACACGTACAGCTCGGCTTGAAGACTTGATTCCGTCGAGGTATTACTCGACCTCGTCTATACAAGTAGCTGGGGTAGCGTATCTGCTGGACAGATATGCTTGGCGGGGTCAATGTTAGTCCCACTGGGCGTAGATAGACTTCTCGCGATCTAAAGATCTGGATAATGGTGGCTGCGCTCTTGGGTGGAGCTGCCTACGTACCCTGAATAGGGATCAAGCCTAAACGTAGTTCAAGGGGGAAGAGAGTTTGTAGACGTTTTGCCGAACTACTTTGGTGATGGGATTAGGTCATTCCAAGTTGGTTCCTGTTTCCTTATCACCGAACTCTCTTTGCCATGACGTATTAACTTGAGCTTGCTTTTTCGAGCTTTATTACGAGTTAATCATCGTGGGCTTTTTCTTGTGAACCTATTGGTTTTCAAGAGTTTGGTTTTTAGGTCGAATCTTTCTAGAGGAAGAGCTCGTCTAGAAGATTTGACCTTTTTGTATGCTTTGATCGAGTTGTTTGAGTCTAAGCATTTGTTAGAGCCTCCGCGAATGAATGCAATTCATTTGAGGGTGGGGGCTCCACTCCCCCGAAAACTTGTGAATCAGTGTGAGGCATGAGTTCACAAAGTTCTTAAACTCGGGTTGAGGTTTTGGTTAGCTGTCTGAGAAGACGCTCCACTCCCCCGCGAGATTGTGAGGTCTGCGTAAGCTAGAGCTCGCTATCTTTTGGTGCGGGCGGGCGGGTGACCGCGAGGGTCATTGAGCTGCTGCGTGAGCTGAGCTCTCTGAACAGGTCGAGTCAGATCGTTTCTTTGTGAAAGAGGTGACTCTTGGGGTTGATTCCGACTTGCGTTCCCGTTTTTGGGATGCTTTGTCGTTATCGTTGGATGAGGGCTGATTGCTTTTTCCATTTTGCCTCAGCCTGCTTTTTAGCTTTCCTTAGCTCATAAGATCGCATTCTTCGGTGGAATGGTCGTGCTTTTTGTGTATTTTGCAGAATTTCTCGACTTCGGAACTCGAGTTCGATTTGAGAACTGAGTTCGCGAATGAAAGAGATGTTGTGGTAATCTTCCTTTGCGATATTTTTCTAGGAGGAGAGTAATCTCCTCTTCGAAGTAGCAAAGGTTAACGCGCAGCGAAGTGCATCATCGAGTGATACAGGAGGTCGAACGATTAGTTCTTCTCTGAATTTCGATTTGTACCACAGGTTGTTTCGGAAGGCTAGTAGAGCTACTGCCTCGTTAGGGTTTTCGATCTTAGCATGATTGCTTTGAATCTATTGACGTAAGATCGAAGTGATTCGTTTGGAGCTTGAGAAAGCGTCCAGAGATCGGCTTCAGAAACTTCTGGTTCGATGAAGATCGAATATTGGTTTATGAATACCGAAAGGAGCTGGTCGAAAGTATCGATTGAATTTTCATCCAGCGTTGCGAACCAATTTTTAGCTGGTCCGGCTAGGTTTTCAGCAAAGAGTTGGCAGAAGCTGCTTCTATCTCTTCAGGAGAAAATTGAGCTCGAAGAATTTCGAGATAAAGAGCTCGGATATAAGCTCGTGGATCGCTGTTACCAGAGTATTCTGGGATACATAGCTTGTAAGTATCGCGCAGACAGGTGTTAGCGATCCTGGATGAGAAGGGAGTTCGTTGTGTCTCCCTGATTACTTTGTCGATATCCGGAATCGAACTCATTGTTTGGTTAAACGTTGAGTTCGCTTGCCGGAATGCGAGGTTTGTTTGGTCCTGGAATCTTTCGAAAGATTCGCAGTCCAAAAGGTTTCGCGGATCGACAGGAATCCGATTAGCTGGAATCGGATGGGATAGAGCTCGATTTGACGAGTTGTTTGCTTTTGTCAATCGAGCTAGATCTGTCGGATCGTTTGCTCTATGAAATTGAGCTCGATCGACTAGATCATTTGTTGCGGGAAACTGTTGATAGTTTCCGTTCACAACAGTTCGAGCTGTTGCGGGAGGCTGCGAGCTCAAAATTTCATGGACTGATTTTTGAGCTGAGACATCGCCTGCAAGCTTGAGTTGGAAGCCATAGTTTCGGGCCATCTAAATATAGTTGGCTCGACACCTGATAGCTTTGGAGGTGGAGATGGAAGTCGCTCTGTTGGCTGAGATCCTATCTCCGATTTGCTTGAATCTGGAATGTTCAAGCTGCTCATTGGCGAGCTCATCGGTGGGACGAGAGTCTGGAAGACATGAGCGCGCAGTGGCGCCTCATCCCGTTTCGACGAGCTGTTTAACGAGGTCATCGGTGGGATGAGAGTCTGGATGACAAGAGCACGCGGTGGTGCCTCATCCCGTTTCGACGAGCTGTTTAACGAGGTCATCGGTGGGATGAGAGTCTGGATGACAGGAGCACGCGGTGGTGCCTCATCCCGTTTCGACGAGCTGTTAGGTTCGTAGATTGGTGAAGAGTCGAGCTGAGTTCCCGGAGGAGGACTTATGATCGTCCGTAGCTCAGCAAGACTTCGTTCATGTTTTTCCAACCTGATTTTTTGGTCGTATTGACTTTAATCAGGTCGGTGAGCATTCGCTTGATTCGGGCTTGGTCGTCCGGATTCGGTCGAGCCAAGGCAAACGACGTTGACACAGTTTCGTCGGAGTTTCCGACTGATCGGTGTCGAGGTAATCGGGAAATCTTTAGATTTGACCCGAACTCCGCAAATGAGGTTTCTCAATTGCGTGCGAGATCTGATTCGGTAGAATCGAGTTCTCGGCTGTCACAGGAGTGACGAGGTTGATCACCGATGGTTTCACGCGGGCTGGAACATTCGAGTTCGCTGCCGCGGAGGTGATAACCGGATCGATCAGGACGCTCGATCTACTAGCAGTTTGGCTGCTGCCAGTTGGCGAGGTGATCGGGTTTTTCGATGTGTCTGCAGTTTTGGCACTGCTGACATCCGAAGTGATTTGATCCGATGGGATCTGAGATTGGGAGCGAGCTCCCTGAGAATTTGATAGGACTGAGTCCATTTCGTTCTCAACTGGTCTAGGTTCGACCCTTGTGTAAGAGAAAGCTATTGTCTCCCCTCCTTCTAGCGCCAAAATGTGGGTTCGGAAAACCACACTCAAAATTTATGTGTATTTTGTAGGGAGAAATTGCCTGTGGAATCAGAGGTTAGATTCTGATGTAAGTCGAATGATTCGTAGACAAATATTTGACGAAATCGGACTTAGGCTAATCGAATAAAGTGGTTACAAAACCGGCCTAAAAGACCATGTAAAACACTAGGATTCGACTAAGCAAAAGAGATGGAAATGAGGTGGTGGCTGCGCTCGTGTAACGAGCTGCCTACGTACCCTGTTTTAGGGATCAAGCCAGAACGTAGTTCGATTGTAAGTTGTTCTCTATTTCGAGTCGTTTTCTGAAGAGAAATGACCACGAAAAGAGCTAAAGGGGTGTGAAGATGACGATAAATCTCAGGTTATCGGAGTGATCCGAAGGTAAGAGATTATGTCGAACTTCTGCCGGAAGTGATTTCCGGCTAGAAAGATCAGGGCTTTCTGGGATTATCTCAAAGACCAAGGATAAGATCGAAGAGATATGGATGTTATCTCAAGCGAAAAGAAGCTATCAAGACGTGAAGAACTTTGTTCTCAGAAGTGAGAAAGATAGAGATTTTTGTCCAGGAAAGGAACATTCTGCCTTGTGATCAAGAATCGTCCTCTTTTTATAGCTCCGAAGTAGATCGCAACCTCCTCCGCGTATCTCGTCCACGTGCAACTACCGATCCCGCTATTTCCGGATCTGAACAGTCGAAGCGAGATTCTCGTTTGACTCGTTCAAACTCAGCTTGTGGACTTGACTCCGTCGAGCTAGAGCTCGACTTCGTCTTCACAAGTAGCTCGGACAGTAAACAGCTGGATTTTGGACAAGGATACTTGGTGGGCTCGAGGTCACTTTACTGGGCCTGAGTGGACTTATCTTGATCTTAGGACTTAGGTGATGGGCCTTATGGGCCGGATTTCTGGAGGGAAATCCAGGTCCAACAATATATCTGTTTTTTTCTTGGAAATATAATATATTCTTGATATCAAATATCTCATATTTTATTTTGCTATGCATCTAATAATAATAAAACAATCAACCATAATCAAATATTTGAAAAAATACAAGCAATATTAACTAAATTAACAATCAAATAAATATTTAAATTTATCTAAGCTTGAATATTGATATCCCAATCCCCAAACAAACTCGAAATACAGTATGTTCGATTCAGAAAATGTTGGATTCGAAAAATTTAAGTGATAAAAAATATTATAAGTCATGAATCTGTTTGAGTACGAAGAGAAATATAATCTGTTTTATATCACAAAAGAACGTAACCTTATTAGCAGAATATATTTTACAAATGTTTTTCATATTTCAACAACAGCAATTAATAGTCTTCAACAAGTACAAAAGGTAAGAGTTGTAACTATTCAACTATTCTTCACATTTGCACCCCAACAAAAAAAAGTTGCAACTATTCTTTCTTCTGCCTCTTTGTAAAGTACTCTTACGCCTAAATTATGTCTCCTAATCATACCCTTTGCCATAACATATTTTAACAATTAATTAGACAGATGATACCAAACCTAATAATAAATTAACTAATGATTCGTCTTTCAAAATAGAGTTAATTGTCGTGAACTAAATTCAAAACAGAAATGGAGAAGTATTTATTAATTTCATGTTTAAATCTCATTTCTTTCGAAGGAGCCTTATTATATATACTATCCCACTCACTTTCAGAAGTATTTTTCTCAGGATTCGATTATCTCACAACTAAGTGAGGGTTTCGTGAATGATGCAATTTCTCTCCTGACAAGGAAGATTTCGCTTGTATGAATTGTCTAAAAACATTTGTGATAAAAAGGATTTCACAAAATTATTCGATTTGGTTCTTTGAAACCTGGCCATTTGACAATGAAACTTTTGGGCGTGCAAGCCACAATTTTAGCAAAATTTATTTACCAGGAATGCAAAATCCATAATGCTTTTCCCTAATTAGGGGGAAAAAAATTGTATTTACACTTCTGAAGGTTAGTAGAATTATTCATTATATAAAAAGAAAAAAAGGTTAGTAGAATTATCGTAAAGTTATATCTCTATGTGTGTGACTAAGAAAAGGAATTACTGAAAAGGAATGAGTATTATACTTGGTTCATACGTTTTTGAAAATGTATGAGACAACAAATTTCAGAATTCTCTCTATCTCTAATTAAATTTAGATGCTTTAAGAAAATAAAATGAATCAGATTAGTTGTGGACTAATAGTATTCGATTACTTGAAGAACTTAGAAAAACATGGATAGAGTCACAGGTTTTTCTTTCTTTTAATCGGTTTCTACACAATAGTGAAAAGGACACTGCAAACTTGTAGGCTACAGTAACTTCTAAAAACTCGTTGCTTATTGATTGTCTTTCTCTCTTCCTCCATTGTCCTTCCTTTTATAAGGATTTTCTCTCTTCAACAGTTTTTAGTTCCTCTTTTGATGATTAGGTAGATAGAATGTTCTTCATCTTTTCATAACTGGATAGCCACAAACGACTTCTTTCAAATATCCCTTTTCATTTCTGCTTCTGGTGTCTGTTATATACTTACTTGGGATTTTGACAAGATTCGAATTCCTTCCCTATTTCCATATAGTTACATATCACTCTTCTTAAACACGTTACCATCAAAATGGCAAATTCTATGGTCAACCTTTGTTCTCCTCTCCCCTTCGTCACCGCTTTAAGGTTGAGAGAGTCATATAGAAATTTTTAGAAGATTCGATATTTTATTACAATATTAATTGATGTAATGTAATGCTTTGGAGGGTGGAGGCGTGGATTAAAAGAAATCTTATTTTTCCGGGAAACAAACCCTCGGCCTAGAAAGCATACTTTGTGGCAGGCGACATCAGATTTTGCCGATGGCCAAGCCATCATGAACAGGTACAGACATTTCTTGATATTGAAGATAAGCATTTTGTGACTGAGATCCATTCCCATGGCGAATCCTTGACATTCGTCTCTTCCTTCCGTCATCGGCGGAATCATCGACCACTCTCGTTTTTCTCCACGTCGTAAACCTCAGACTAGCGTAAGGCGTTCTTCTGGTCGCCGTGACCTCTGGCGACGTACACTTTCGTCGAATCATGGAAGCGCAGGCGAAGAACGACCGCGGTTCATTCATCGGCGCTCCTCGTCTCCACCTCCTTCCACTTCCTTCTCCGGAGAATTCCAGAACGTAAACGTCTTTCATCGGCTGTAACGCACCCGCAGAAAAGCGGGATCTGCTGCTCCGGAAAGGCAATCCGATTCCACGTCAACATACCCAAACCGTGGCGTCCCGGAAACGCGCGGCTGCTGCTTACGTATATGCATGTCTCGGTAAACCTTGCTCTAGTAGAGTGCTTCTAGTCTCGTTCTACGAAACTGTGGGAATGAGATTCAGATGGTGATTGTAATTAACGATTATAAGGAATGGTGATGATGAACGCCGGAGATAACCACCGTAATCGTTTGACGACAATTGTTGTGAGAATTTTTATGGGAAAAGAGTAATAATTGGATTCTATATATATGTGAGGAGATGCTACTCAAATGGCTGCAATTCAAAAGAAGCGCTCTTTCGCCTCTTCTTGATTCAAAGAGCTGAACGGGACCAGACGGTTGTCAACGGAAATGTTGTAGATTATAGCGAAAGCTAGAACGGAAAGGGTAATAACGATTAAGTATTCGTAACAACAACGATGGTCGATGGTAACTTTGAGAGGGGAAAAAGGTATCTAGTAACTATATGCAGTCTATTTATATGTTGAACAGATGCAACTCTTCCATCTTCTATTTAAAGAGGCTTATTGTTCTTAGTGCAAAAGACACGACGTTTCTTTACGCATCATCAACAACATCTTCATTCCGTATGGATTCGTCAAAGAAGTTTTTGTCTGTGGTTCCAGACTCGTATAAAAAATAACGAACAATGAAGAAAAATGACTTTAGAGTAGGCAGTGTAGCCGAGTTTTATTCTAATGAAGCCTCCACTATCATCGTCGAATGATTGCCGAAATCTCATATCATATGGAATGTGGTGAGAACTTGAATCATGATCTCTTTTTTGAACGAAACCTACAGTTTATAAAAAATAATGAGTGTTGCATTCAAAAAGAAGTGAGGGTACGTAATTTTCCTTCACCGCGAGAACTGCCATGTCGGAGGCCGTGAGGCGGTACTGGCGTTTGGAGTGTGAAAAGGAAGAAGATGATGAAAATTGATTTATTTCTCAGTTGCAGAAAAATGTACAGAAAACGATTCAGTTTCTACAATTTATAATATTACATGGATTAATCTAGAAGATGATTAATCTAGAAGATCTAGAAATAATGATATGGGCTTTGTTTATTTAAATTTCGTAGGCCCAATATATCATCTATTTTGCACATTATTAATACCCATGTCTGAGCCCATCTTCTTTCCTTCTTCCTCATCGTGAGCCATCTTCTTTTCTTCTTCTCCATTAACGTGATGCAACTCTGGTCTTAACAAAGGAGTTTGGCTTTCACCCTCCCGCAAACTTGTGATGGGAAGAGTCCCAACACCAAGTTTGGCACGCAAATGCAGAAACGAACTGCGTGGTAGAGGCTTCGTGAAGTTATCGGCCACCTGATGTGCAGCGGGAATGTGTTTGATCTCGACAACACCAAGAGCTACACGCTCGCGAATGTAATGGTAGTCAACTTCGATATGTTTCGAGCGACTATGAAAGCCTGGATTGGCAGAGAGATGAACCGCAAACAAATTATCACAATGAAGAAGTGCAGGAGCTGATTGAGGAATCCGTAAGTCACGAAGAAGAGAATTGATCCATGTCAATTCAGAGGCTGTGTACGCAAGGGCTCGATATTCAGCTTCGGTGGATGATCGCGAGACCGTAGGCTGACGTTTAGCACACCAAGAAATAATATTTGATCCTAGAAAAACACAAAAACCTGTGGTAGAGCGTCTAGTGTCTTGACAGCCTGCCCAATCGCTGTCACTATAGGAAGTAAGTGACAGAGAAGTATTTTTGTGAAGATGAAGGCCAAAGGCAGTAGTGCCCCGAATGTAGCGAAGAATCCTCTTAAGAAGAGAGAAATCAGTCATAGTTGGGGAATGCATCCGCTGGCAAACAAAATTCACGGCAAATTGAATATCAGGCCGCGTCAATATCAAATATTGCAACTTTCCTGCAATGCTCCGAAAATAAGTGGGATCCGGAAACAAATCAGTGTCTCTAAACGCAGCAGCAAGACGTGTTGGGAGTGGTGTCGGCATCGGGTTCGCATTTGCCATTCCTGCTTCATACAAGATTTCTTCAGCATATGTAGATTGATTAAGAAACAATCCATTGTCATGATGGTGAGCCTGTATGCCCAGAAAGTAATGAATAGCACCGAGATTCTTCATAGAAAACTGGGTACTCAGTTCGTGGATCAAAGTATTAACGAGCTCTGGTGAACTTCCTGTGAGTAAAACATCATCAACATATAAGAGCAAAACCAGAGTGTGAGATCCACGATGATAGGTGAACAAAGACGGATCCGCATTGCTACAAGAAAAACCAAACTCAATGAGAAAATTGGTAAACTTGTTAAACCAAGCACGCGGAGCCTGTTTGAGGCCATAAAGTGCCTTGTGCAGCTTGCACACATGATTAGGATACGCGGGATTTACAAAACCCGGAGGTTGTTCCATAAAAACCTCCTCTTCGAGTTCACCATGAAGAAATGCATTTTTAACATCCAACTGAGTTATAGACCAGTTTTTGGCAACAACGACTCCAAGCACCATATGGTTGTCGTTCTAACCACTGGGCTATATGTTTCAAGAAAATCTACTCCTTCCTCTTGAGCAAAACCTTTAGCCACTAGCCGAGCTTTAAGTTTGTCAAGAGAACCGTCAGCCTTGAGTTTCACCGTAAAAATCCACCGACAACCAAGAACATGCATATCAGGGTTAAAGGGAACCAACGACCATGTTCCAGCCTTATTTTGGGAATCCATCTCTTCACCCATAGCATTGGTCCACCCTTCATGTTGGAGAGCAGATTCAACTGTGGTTGGGATAGTTGGAAGGTCTACTCGTGTAAGTAAAGAATAACGCGGGTTCGGTTTGCGTATCCCACGTTGGAGTCGTGTTGTCATACGATGAGTCCGTTGCGATGACGTACTAGAGGCCATAGGGAGAACGACTTCAGGTTCAAGCACTGGATCATTATTTGCATCAGGCATGACTTCAGAAGGTGAGGACGGAGCTATAGATGATGGAATAATATTATCATCTTCATTGTCATTAGGCTGGAAAACATTTTCACTAACTCGTGAGGAAGGAGCCACAAGAAGCGATGGAAGAAGAGTAGGTGGAGGTGGTGCTGACTGCCATGCTTTAAGCAGCGGTGTTGTATAAGGCTCCACAAAGTTTCGATAACGATCCTCAAAAGGAAAAATGTCTTCATCAAATATAACATGACGGGAGATATATATGCGTCCTGTGGGAGGATACAAGCACCCATATCCCTTATACTGAGCATGATATCCCAGAAAAATGCACTGAAGAGACCGCAAATCAAACTTATGATTAGTATACGGTCGAAGACATGGGTAACAAGCAGCTCCAAACACCCGAAGGAACGAATAATCTGGTTTCTGTCCTGTGAGTAATTCATATGGGCTTTTGAATTGCAAAGATGGTGATGGAAGCAAATTGCTAACAAAGTTAGCCGTATAAAAGGCCTCCACCCAATACTTAAAAGGTGTTTTACTCTGAAAGATCATGGAGAGAGCAAGTTCCGTCAAATGCCGATGTTTGCGTTCCGCTAGACCGTTTTGTTGAGGTGTCGAAGGACACGATAACTGATGCCGAATCCCGTGATCTATCAAATATTTTCGGAACACATTACTTGTGAACTGACCACCGCCGTCGCTCTGAAATACTCTGATTTTCTTGCCGTATTGATTCTCAACTTGCTTATGAAAGGCAACAAAGACTTGGTAAAAATCAGACTTTTCTTTGAGCGGAAACAGCCATGAATATCGAGAAAAATCATCCACAAAGACAACATAGTACTTGAAACCTTGATTTGATACAATAGGCGACGGTCCCCATAAATCACAATGGATTCTATCAAGAGGTACCAAAGCATTAGATAAAGAAGCAAAAAACGGTAATCTCGAACTCTTTCCCATCTGGCACGACTCACATACGGTGGACGTGCTACTCTTATTAGTATTAATCATCTTGCTACTCTGTAAGTGTTGAAGAACTTGAGGATTTGCATGACCAAGACGTCTATGCCACACCACTTCACTAGCAACCACCTGTCGATTTGAGTAAAAGGCCACAAAATCCGAGTTCTTCAACACATAAAGATTATTATGCCGAGGTCCTTTAGTCACCACTTTCTGAGTTTGTAAGTCAATTACATATACCCAATTAGCATAAAAAAACACTCCACAAGGATAGTCATCACATAATTTTGAAATAGATAATAAAGATTTCTGGATTGATGGACAAACCAGAACATCATGTAAAGGAATACTACCTTGAGAAGTGGTGATGACGGTTGACCCAACATGTGTTATGGGAAGCTGATTCTCATTTCCAACTAGAACTGTGTCAGGTCCATGATAAGGAGTTGGATTCTGAAGAGAAGAAGCTGCGGCAGTGATGTGAGCTGTGGCACCTGAATCAGGATACTTCCCTGAATCATCCGAAATGTGGAGAGCAGCAAGAGCTTTAGGAACATCATCACTCTGATAGGCATGATCAAATCTGTTCCAACATTTCAATGCGGTGTGTCCAATTCGACCACAAATTTGACACACAGGGTGGTTGTTGTGGTTTTCGTCAGAAGACTGTGACTGATTCCATCCAGAGGAGTTGACTTGTTGTGAGAATCCTCTGCCTCGTGTAGAAAAACCACCACGACCGCGATTGCCGTATCGAGATGACGAGTGACCACGACCACGTTGTCCAGAGTGAGAATAGTTTGATTTTTGGACTTGAAATGCAGTAAACGGAGTAACTTCTTCCGGAGTCTCATAAGACTGAAGCCGTGTGTGAAATCCGGAGACTTCAGAGACCACATCATTGAACGTAGGTGGCGGATAGCGGGACATAGAACTCTGAAGAACAGTGGAGATGGGATCAAATTCTCGAGACAACCCGTTTAGAAAAGTGAAGATCTTCATAGATTCTTCAACTGGTTTTCCAATAGCACTAAGTTGGTCACAAATAGTGCGGAACTCACTACAGTAGACAAGAAAATCTTTTCCCTTAGTGGAAAGTAATTGGAGACGACGACGAAGATCAAATTCACGAGCAACAGAGCTTTTATTGAAGTTATCAGCCAAAAACATCCAAACATCTTGAGACGTGGCTAGACCGTGAACATATCCGAGGACTTCTTCCGTGAGAGTACCAAAAATCCAAGACTTAATCAATTGATCTGTGCAATTCCAAGCTTCAAACGCTGGATTTGGTGAAACAACAACACCACCATCCACAACAGTGGTAACAGTAGCTGGAGGAGCACTTACTTGGCCATTAACGAAACCCAGAAGCTTCTGGCTACGGAGCAGAGCTTCAAATTGTGTCTTCCAGAGAAGATAATTAGTCTCATTGAGCTTTAAAGTAACAGAACTAGCCACATGGAGATTGGAAGGAAATGGATAAGGATCGAGAGCTTCCGCCATTACAGGACCTGTTAGGGTTTTAGAATCGCTCTGATACCATGTGAAAAGGAAGAAGATGATGAAAATTGATTTATTTCTCAGTTGCAGAAAAATGTACAGGAAACGATTCAGTTTCTACAATTTATAATATTACATGGATTAATCTAGAAGATGATTAATCTAGAAGATCTAAAAATAATGATATGGGCTTTGTTTATTTAAATTTCATAGGCCCAATATATCATCTATTTTGCACATTATTAATACCCATGTCTGAGCCCATCTTCTTTCCTTCTTCCTCATCGTGAGCCATCTTCTTTTCTTCTTCTCCATTAACGTGATGCAACTCTGGTCTTAACAAAGGAGTTTGGCTTTCATGGAGATCGGTAGAACGAAATAAATTTGATCAGCCTGGAGAATCTCTTCCGATTCGATCGCCGGGATGAAATCGTCGTAATAGAGAAATCCGAATTGCAGAGAAAATCAAAAGAAGACCGAGACGATGAGGAAGAAGAAGAAGCCATCAATTCCGCTTCCAGAACCTGAGACGCTAACACCGGGACATCGTATTCCCGGAGATCGCCGTTAACCGTTACAATTTTAGCCGTCTCGTCGATGAACCGCAGTCGTTTGAGAATTTTAAGGGAATAATAATAATTATCAGTCACTTGGATTCTATATATAATTGTAAGTAGATGCAAGTATGCAACTCTTAGGATCTCTGATTGAAAAGAAGCGATTGTTGGCAATGCAAAAGACACGACTTTTAGTAAGGATTAAACCTTCTCGTCAATCTTGTAAGCGTCTAATTGAAGGTTTTTTCTGAATTAATCTTAACCATTCATATGATTCACGAGATTGAGTTTCAACCGTTAGATGTGTTTTTTTTTTTCTAAAAAAAATGTTGACATCAGCGAAAACAAAAAGTGAATTTCTAGATTAATCTTAACTGTTGATTAAATTAGGGGATGAAGTTTCAACCATTAGATATGTTTTTTTTTCCTACAAAAAAATGCTGACGTCAGCGAACACAAAAAGTGAGTTTGCTATTAGACTAGGAGAGCACCCGCGCAATGCACGGATTTTTTGTTTCAGTGTTTTTTTTTGTTTTTTTTTATATTATTTTATTTTGTGTATGTACGAAAATTATTTTTTTGGGTAAAATTTATCTGAATGTTTAACAAATAGAATAATTTTTTTTTTTTTCATTTATTACAAATAGTTTATTTTTGTTATTTGTTTCTCTTTCTTGTTTGTAATATTAGTGTTTTGTTAGAATTTAATGTTAACCAGAAGTCATATGATGTTTAGTTCATTCTCTCTTTTAGGTGACTGTTTATATTAGAAGTGTTCCTCCCTTATATTAGTTATATGACATTTTATATAATGTTTAAGTGAGTTGAATGTATGAGTTAAATAATGTTTGAAAATATAATGCAATTGTTTTATCGATTGTTCAAGTGTATTACATCGTTGATAGTATGATTAATTCTATTATAGTGATTCATATGTGAAAATGTAAATGTATTTTCAAAGTGTTGTAAATTGCTTTCTCGTGATGGTTTTTCTGTTGAGAAAGGTCGCCATATTTGGTAGATCTCATCTTCAGTGAGAAAGCAATTTACGAGAAAGGTTTTAAATGATGGTTTTTCTGTTGAGAAAGGTCGCCATATTTGTTGATCTCATCTCATATTTGGTATTTTTGGTTTAATTGATGATGAGAAACAACCATAATGGCACTCGTAGGATCACGTTAGTCGCGACCACAAAGCATATTACCAACGCGACCACAAAGAATATTACCTACATGAACACGTGTACATTACCGTTATACGGCATATTTGTGGCATAATAGTCGTGGTATATAGTTTCTTATTTGTCAGTCTACCTATGTAATCTATTACTTCCGGCATACACAGAGTAAGATATATAATTTTTAGATATATGATTTTTAGGTTAATCCACCAAATTGACTTTGATTCAGGTCAAACAAAATCAAATCAAACCGGTCTCAGCGAAAGAAAATAGATTAGCCCTTCATTAAGAGAAGCTCACAAGTCATAAAGAAAAGATGGAAACGAACAAACGAAAAATATCAAAAATGCCTAAAAGTAATAATGAAAGAGCATCGATCAAGCAACTTCATCAAACGAGACCTTCCAGGTCTGATAAGTGATCACTTCTTCTGCAACAATTCTCCAAAGTAGAAATTCTCTTTCTTGCAGCGAGGAGTTCCTCATGTTCAAGTATGGCGCCGAGCAAGAAGAAAAAGAAAGAAGAGAATCAAAAACACTTTCCACATAAGTTTCTTCTTTGTGCTGGGTTTTACAGAATTTTCAACCTGCAAGTGGAAAGAGGTGCATAAACATAAGTCTTTGGAGGCATAGAGAACACACCATAGCCTGATACAATTTTAGCTTTATGATTTTGTCCTTAAAAAGCAAAAACCGGAAACTGATGAGACTTTTTTCATATTGTCTTTGTGGCTAAATCTAGCAGCGTTTTCCTTACTTGAGGAAAGAAATATTAAAACAGAACACACAACACTCTCTTGATATTAAACTTTTCTCCTGTAAACTAATGCAAAGTTTGAAACCAATATGACATTTTCATACCTTTTTAGTCCAATTGACGTCATTGATTTCCTTTACTGGTGAAGTTTTCTTGAGCAGGTCATTAGATTCAGCCACAACATCATTCTCCATTTTCTTGCTCACAAGCTCGGATGCCTCTTGAAATTTCTTTGATTCCCTCAAGCAGAGTCTCTAGGCCTTTCGATTCCCTCAAGATACTAACCACATGATCGATAAACCCTAGATCCTCCATTTCTGCAATCACCCCGTCGTGTGTGGAAATCAACGCCAAGACACCAACTCCAGAGTCGAACTTCCTCCTGCTTTGATCTTATCCGTCAGCAATGGAATCAAACCAGCCGAAACCGCCTTTACCTTGTTCTCCGGTAGCTTACAGAGGTGAGAAACAACCGAAACAGCTTGCCTGCTGACTGAGAAATCACCTTCTTTGATAACATCCAACAGAGCCTTTAGTGTTACTCCGTTGCAGATGATGATCTTGTTAGAATCAAGCCTGTGCATCGTTTCTCCGCGTCTTCACTTTCCCTTGCTTCAGAGACTTTGTAAGCAGCGTGATCACAAGAGGGTTTTCAGCAAGAATTGTCTTGTTCTGCTCCAGCTTCGAGATGTTGAGCAATGTTGTGATGATATTCTTCTGAAGCTTCGGGGATTCGAGTCAACCACAACACCAGAAGCAGAGATCGGACTGAGCAACTGAGTGATGGTATCTCCGGCGCAAAGAAGGCCATGACACTGCCAAATAACTTGCTCTGGCGGCGAAGCTCTTTTGCAGCCAATATCTGATCTTCCACTGAGGAAGGAGAGGAGATCCGAGTAAGCAATGAGTCTATGTCGTCAGTGAAGGGTTTTGGCCGTCAAAGTTGTTGACTTGACACCATTGCTTCGGTGCCCATTAACGATGAGAGAGGACTTCAAACGTTTTGGGACATGTCTGCTTAGAAATCAGCCACTCTGTGATGTATCTTTTCTCAAAAGTCTGGAAACAAAATAGCAAAAGAAATCAACACAATCCCCAAAACTCAGCATCCTTATACAAATAATTATTCTGTTCTAAAAAGAGCACTCATATCAATTGAATGTAGAATTATGAGCAAAATCGAGCAAGAAATCCCAAAGAAATATTGGAAATATATAAAAATCAACAAAGAAAATGGAGGAAAAATCACCTGCCCAGAAGCGATGACTACAGGTTCGATCATGATATTAGTCGAGAGGCTGCATCTAAACTCATCCGGAAATTTGGGCACCGGAGCCGGAGAAGACGAAGAGATCTCAGATTCCGGCTTCTTCGATTCTGCTTCCCTCAGACGATTCAGGATTCCGATCGACTCGTCAATCGATTTCAAGGCATTGAAACTTCCGTTAGTGTCACTGCGATCTTTGCTGACTCTTCCATCTTCGAGAAACTCCGTTAGTGTCTTCTCTAATTCCAGCCTCAGAGTATTGGCGTTTGCTGCCGTACGTTGCGTCTCCCGTCGTCGATTCCGCCATTTCAGCCGGAGAATTTCTCATCAAGCATGAAAGACGCAACAGATCCAGGAACAGAGGAAGGCAGAAATAAGGTATCAGGAACGATGGAATCGGGAGGTTGATGCAGGGTTTTATAGTGGTGAAGGAGAATTGAAAAGGCACAACTGTTTCTTATGGATTTGAGATCAGCCATTAACTTCCACAAGTAGTGAGACGGCTGATGAGAGGGAAGGGAAAGGGTTGCGGCGGCGAGTCGACGTCGTTTTGGTAGGAGACGAAAATAAAAAATAAAAAAATTCGGAAAAAAGGGAAGACAGGAAACGACGTCGTTTTGGTGTAAGACGGAAAGAAAAAAAAAGTTAAAGCGCAAAACTCAACGCCAAAAAAAACAAAAAAGTGCCACGTGTCTGCAGCTGGAGAGTGTCCAAGACTTATTAGTTATGTAGATTACTCTTTTACAGCTTCATTTAGTTGTTTTTGTTGTTGATCGTTGGCTTATCAAAACCTTAATACTTTATGTTTCCTCATCAAGTTAATTGTGGTATTGAATTCTGATTTGGTTTAAATTGATTTAGATAACTTTGATAAATTGACTGAGCTATGTAACTACGATTTATGTTCATAACATATATATTTTGATCATACTTTTGTGATTACAATTTTGTGCTTTGAGTATTTGGCTATAAAAGATCTATAGATCTTTAGAGAAATTATGATATGATCTAAAACATTAATCTAAAGAAAATAAATAATCACCAGAAGTGATATGACTTAATAGAGCAATCTAAGGAAAATTATTGCATCTAAGACCACATAAACTTGAAGTTTATAAGTGGAAATAACACTACTAATACAAATGTGTTAAAAGAAATCAAGAAAATATTGTTGTCCTAAAGACACAATAATATAAATATGTTTAAAGAGTATTTTATGAAAATATTGTTGTCAGACACAATAGCAAAGAAATATAATTTGAGAATTTTAATAAATTTATTTTCTTTTAGAATTAAATTTGTCACCAGAAGTGATAATAAATGGTATATATTATTAATATTTATTTTATTATGTATTTATTTTATATTATAATATTTATTTTTTTATATTTCTATATATTATTTTGCATGAAAGATTACAAGACCTGAAGTCTGTAAATAATTTCATTATTTGAAGATAATGCATAAATTTTGATAATATAATGAGTTATTAATGAGAATCTGATGAAAATCATATCCAATTGGTTATGATCAATTCCCTGAAGTGAATGTGATATACAAGTAAATGGTTAAAGAGGTTATTGATTTTATATTGGAATTCAATTCGAGATAGATGAACCTGAAGTATCATCATCTCGAGGGGGAGAATAGATGAATTGTACAATCAATAATAAGTGGAACATCTAGAAGATTATGTTCACACTCAAGATAACTTGATCATTGATCAAGAAAAATATAAGAATCCCTAATTCATAGTCCAGAAGATTATATTCAAAGATAAATGATCCTCATGAATCATATATTTTGGTTATATAGTAAACCAGAAGTTTACCGAATATAATATAATTTGGCATGAACTGGTTAGTCCATTCTAGTTCAAGATATTATGCGAAATAAAATACAACATGTAGACATTTGTTGAAGAACTAGAAATTCTTCTAAATGATTCCTAATGTGATATTCTATCATATGAGATTATGATAATACAATAATTATCACTAGCCAAACTAGATTTTGAGTCTACTCATTTTCTAGAGAGTATACAAGGAACATATGTGGTTTAATTAATAACACATATCGTAGACTAATCATCCCTAAAGGAAATTTTATGTATGTATCATATTATAAATCTGCAACCTGAAGTTTGCAAGATTACTTGATAGTGCTGGTGAATTCACATCTTAAGTCTTTGATGAGAAAATCATGTTTGTAAGAACTATGAATACACATTGAACATCCAGTAGATAATGTTCATACACAAAAGCATTAATTCGCATAAAGCCAACAAAGAATTAAAGATTCTCCCCACCGAAATTGGTTTTGGGTCAGAAACCTTTGGATGTGCAATATACATCCACATTGCTCCACCACAGCAATATAAGATAGATCTCAAAGAGATTGTAGATGTTGGATATGAATCTCCATTGATAAAATCTAGAGCTATTCATGAAAGGATTTAAGTAAGGCTCGATTTATAGACTACCATGTTAATGGATAAGTCTTTCCAACATCAGGGGGAGAAATAAAAGGCTGGAAAGAAAAGTAGTTTGAATGAATTATCATTGATCCTCGGACTATAGAATGTGAAATAGAAGTCCAAAAGATAGTTCATTCACAAAACTTATTGTATCAGTTGCCAGATACATTTACTGACCCAAATATAGTGATTGAGTCACTTACCAGCTGTAAATGCTCTAATAAGAATTGATGTCCCAGAAGGACAATATCAAGCTGCTAGTGAGTCTAAAGAACGCATGAAGCGTGATAGACTTGTCGGTTCCAAATATTATAATCCTCGAAAAAGTAAAAGAGCATAAATTGACAATGGTCAAACCGAGGAAACAAATATTTTTGAGTGATCTCCAGAAGAGACATTAAACATGACAAATAAGAAATTCAGGTACCTGAGACAATATGAGATCTCGAGAAATTACTTATGTCATGTATAGAATAAATGGAACCAAAAGCAAATCGACGTCGTAAATAATATATTTGCATGCAATGTAGCAGTTGATATTATGAATGATAAAGAGGATCATGAAACAAAGTCTATTGCATTGTGTACACAAAGTAATGATTTGGCCAAATCGAAAAGAAGCAATAGACTCAAAACTAAAATCTCTTAGAAAGAGAAAGTATTTGGACCAGAAGTCCTTTCACCTAAAAAGTGTGAAACAAGTGAGTTATAAAGAATGAGTATGAAGAGATATACTCTCATGTGGTGGATGCAACTTTCAAGTTCATTAAGTCTGGCAATGAAAGAAGAACTTGACTTATACAACTCACTAAACAATGACATTTATATAAAAGTCCCTGAAGGATATAATCATTGAAGAATTAATGATATAATCGTTATGTTCCCGGAGAACATTAGCTATTCAATCAAATGAATAGAAATATATTTCATGGATATACAAAGTGATATATAAGTACAATACCCATGTATATTTAACAAAAGGTATTATAGAGATCATGAAACTAAACATCGAAATTCCTGAAGCATTTTCGAAATTAGTATCACAAAAGGAGATGGGATAAAAGATCTTGGAAAGACAAAGTTGTCTTAAGATATCCCAAATTCCCAGAAATGTTATGGCATGATTTACATAAACAATGCTCACATATATTTGGTCCTGAAGTAGTCTCTTTCATAATTGAAAATGAGCAAAATGAGCATGAGATTATATATACAAGATAGATTACAAGAATGTATATAAAAGAGAAAATTTGGCCAGAAGTCCAAATGATTGTTTATAGAAAAAGATGTCTAGACTAAAAGTCTAAATGACTTTCATCAAAGTTATACTTATAGTAATCTCCAAAAGATAGTATTGGAATGCATCTCCTGAAGAAGATGCTTCCAAGGGGGAGAATATGATGATATGTGTGGTTGTACTCTTTTTCCTTATCATGGTTTTTATCCCATTGGGTTTTTCCATGAAAGGTTTTAATGAGGCAACAAAGAACACACAAATGAGAAACATCTAAAGAAGTCTTGTCATCTATTTATGAGATCAAGTGAAGCAAGGAGATTGATCAAGATGAATCATCTTGATCCATGCAACCAAGAAGAATGGCGATGTCAATGTTCTAAAGACTGTTCAAGTGAAGATTTTAAAGGAGTTTCCATCTGCTATTATCAAGAAGTTCATTCACCTAATCTACACGGATGTTCTCATGAGGGGGAGTAGTTGCGCGCTGTACTCTTTTTCCTTAACTAAGGTTTTTCCCTTTGGGTTTTCCTGGTAAGGTTTTAACGAGGCAGCACATGCGCACTTAGAAGATATTTTTAGATAATGGACTTCCAAGGGGGAGTGTTATAACTAGTTTATATGGAAGCCCATTATCGGCCCATATTCTAGAATGTTCTAGCTTGTTCTCCAAGTGTATTCCTCTCCAAGGAAAACCCTATATTGTAATCCTATATAAGGAGCTCATTACTAATGAATAATACACAACCAATTCCTCTCTTCTCTTGTTCTCTCTTCTTACTATAACATAACCGTTGTATGATTTGCCTTGATATGGTGAGGATACGATGACTCAACTTTCCATACTCTATCACACCCCCTCAAGATGGACGGCCGTGAGAAATTCCGATCTTGATGGAGAGAAGTTGAAAACGTGCACGTGGAAGTGGCTTGGTGAGTGCGTCCGCTAATTGGTCTTCGGAGGAGACATGTGTGACCCGAAGCTGGCCGTTTTGAACAAACTGACGGACAAAATGATAGTCAAGGGCGATATGTTTCATTCGTGAATGAAACACAGGGTTGGCGGCAAGGTAAGTGGCACCAATGTTGTCACAGTATATGACTGGTTTGGAGCTGCCTGTGATGCCGAGTTCTGTCAAGAGTGAAGATATCCAGCATATTTCTACAGTAGTGGCTGCTAAGGCTCGATACTCTGCCTCTGTGGATGATCTTGCTACACTTGTTTGTTTCTTTGAAGACCAAGCTACGGGATGACTGTCGAGATAAACTATATATGCACTAGTAGAGGTGTAGTCATCTTTATTGCCAGCCAAATCCGCATCAGTAAAAGCATGGAGGTCAGGTTTATTTGTAGCACTAAAGAAGATCCCTTGGGACTTCGTTCCAGAGAGATACCGAAGAATTCTCTTGGCAGCTGACCAATGTGTGTTGGTAGGGCGATGCATGAACTGTGAGAGCTTGTTAACCAAGAAGGAAATGTCTGGTCGTGTAAGTGAAAGATATTGAAGGCTTCCGACAATGGTACGGTATTCGGTAGCATTATCTAACGCCTGCCCAGAGAGAAGTGTGAGCGTGGAGTTGGATTCCATTGGTGTTCCCACAGCTTTAGCATTCGTCATATTGGCTTTGCAAAGTAAATCTGCAATATAACGTTCTTGAGTTAAATGTAGCCCAGCTTTTGTGCGTTTCACTTCAATTCCTAAGAAATATGAAAGATCACCCAAATCCTTAAGAGAAAAACGTTGAGAGAGGGAAGTGATAAACCGGGAAATGTGAGGTTGACTGTTTCCGGTGATAATGATGTCATCGACATACACCAGCATGTAGAGGAGGACACCATCTTTGTTGTAGATAAACAAGGAAGCATCGGCAATAGAGTTCTTAAATCCAGATTGGAGAAGAAACGTGTGTAGCTCATTGTACCATGTGTGGGGAGCTTGCTTTAAGCCATAGATAGCTTTGTTTAACTTACAAACCGCATCGGGATTGTCCTTATCTTGAAAACCGGTTGGCTGCTTCATGTATACTTCATCGTGGAGATGACCCTGCAAAAAGGCATTATTAACATCTAGTTGTTTCAGCGGCCAATCCCGAGAGGTAGCAGTGCTGAGAACGATCCGGATGGTGGCTGGTTTGACAACTGGACTGAAAGTGTCATGGTAGTCAATTCCGGGGCGTTGGCTGTAGCCTTGTGCAACAAGCCGAGCTTTGTATCGATCAATGGAGCCATCAGCCTTCCGCTTGATAGTGAAGATCCATCGATTACCTACAAGATTTGAAATATCAGTATAACGTACAAGATGCCAAGTGTGATTTCGAATATGAGAGTTAATCTCTTCAATCATGGCTTGTCGCCAATGAGGGCATTTAAGAGCTTCTGCAACAGTTTCAGGAATCCAGTCAGGTGAACGTGTGATCGTAGTGTGAAGGTTGAGCTTTTGGACTGGTTTTCGGGTACGAGTGCTTGCACGTATTGGTACCGGCGGTGGTGGTATAACAGCAGCTGGTGCAGGAGGAGATGGAGGTGGAGACGGTGAAGAAGGAGATGGAGAAGAAGGAGTGGACGGCGTAGCAGATTCTGACGCAGGGTTGGATGGTAATGGCGTGGGAACAGAGGCAGCGGAGCTCTGTTCTGTGGATTCAGTTTGTGGTGTAGATGGTGAGGATACGACTGGAGCAGGAGGTGGCTGCGGGATCACCGGTGGAGTAGGTATGGGCGGTGAAGATGGTTGTGGGATCACCACTACAGCAGGAAAAGACGGAGTGGAGGTGTCATTGTGCTCGTCGGATCCAGTGACATCCATTTGCTGAATCGTTGTGTTTGCTGCAAAAGGGAAAACAGATTCATGGAAAACTACATGTCGTGAGGTATATATGCGGTTAGTTGATCTATCAAGACAAAAGTAAGCACTTTGAGAGATAGAATACCCAAGAAAAACACAAGGTGTCGATCTAGCATCTAGCTTATGAGTAGCATATGGTTTTAATCATGGAAAACATAAGCATCCAAAGACACGAAGTTTTTGATAATTGGGAGAAATACCAAATAAACTTTGAAAAGGGTTTTGAAAATCCAATGTTGGAGTTGGCATACGGTTGATAAGATATACCGCTGTACCAAACGCATAGGTCCAATAGGTCCGAGGTATGGAAGCATGAGACAAAAGTGATAACCCTCTTTCAACTATATGTCTATGGCGTCTCTCTGCTATACCATTATGCTCAGGTGTATGTGGTGGACTAGTCATATAAGATATACCATGACTAGAAAGAAATGTCCTTAGACCAGTGTATTCACCCCCATTATCTGTGTACAAAGTTCGTAACTTAAGTGAAAATTGTTTTTCCACTAAGTTTTTGAACACTTGAAAAAACGAAAACACTTGAGATTTTTGTTTCAAAGGATACAACCAAGTGTATCTAGTAAAATGATCCACAAAAATCACATAGTATTTAAAACCATCAATTGACATAATCGGAGATGTCCAAACATCAGAAAAGACTATATCAAGTGGTTGAGAGGATTTCAAAGTTGAAATAGTAAAAGGTAACTTATGCATTTTATTAATGGAACAAGCGGTGCATGGCTGAGCCAGCAAAACATTTGACGTAAGAGGTAAATGAAAACAAGAAACTACTTTTTGAAGAATAGGTAATGCTGGATGGCCTAATCGAGAATGCCAATCTGATAAACTAGTCTTAATTGTAGATGCAAATGCAAGAGATGGAGGCTTTGTAGAAGATGAAAACTTTGGCCACTCATAAGTGCCATCTTTAGGTTTGCCTTTCAGACGAAGGACCCCCGTTTGTAAATCCCGAACCTGAAAGTACGTTGGAGTAAAGGTTACGGCAACACTATTAGCGTTACATAATTGAAAAACAGAGATTAGGTTTTTATTAAGCGATGGAACACATAAGACATTATTTAGATACCATATTGATTCGATGATTATTATTGATAGACTATACTCTGTTTATATACAGAGAAACAAAGTGATGTACAAGGTAAGAAGAATGTACTAAAGTAATTACAATATTGACTATATGACCGTTGTATGATTTGCCTTGATATGGTGATGATACGATGACTCAACTTTCCATACTCTATCACTCTTATGGTATTTTCAGGAAATCTTAGAGAGTATTAATTACACAGAAGAAGAAGAATAAGAATGGAGTTTTTACATATATAAAGATAGATTGATAAAGACTTATATTTATCAATCTGGTTAAGCTTTCCGAGTCTATTAGAGTTATATACAATTAGAAACAGTTTACACTAAAATTTTGTTAAAATTTCTCAATTATTAATGAAAAAAGTTCCTCTAGTAAAAAATTGTTAATGAAAATACAGTGTCGTGAATGTAACATCCATAAACCATTGATAATTGATTTCGGTTCAATTTGAGTGAAATTGGGTCCGATTTAGCCTGGTTTAGCCCGGTTAAGGGTTAGAAACTTATTTTCATTTTAAAGGAGAAGCAGTCGTCTGTTCATCACGTTTTTCGAGGCAGAGAAGGAGAAAAGCGATTTTGAGAGTTCCTGAAAAAATCCGATTTTACTGTACATCGGGTACTGTTCAACTGTACTGTTCACCGGGTACTGTTCATCGGCATTGTTCATCGCTACTGTTCACGGGTTACTGTTCATCGGATACTGTTCATCGGTACTGTTCATCCGCGATTTGGCACTGTTCATCGTCTTTCCTTTTTCCTTCAGTTTTTGTCAATTGTCAAGGTGAGTGCATGACTGTGGGTCCGCGATTTGCTAGATTAATTGGTTTGTGATTGTTCTTGATGAGTTTATGTGTTTAAATGTTATTTCATAGTATTGTGGTTGTTTCTGATGAATTATGTGTTTGTGTGGTTTAATCTGATTTAATTGAATTAATTGATTTATCTTGGTTTAAATTGATTTGATTCTGGTTAATAGGTGTAATTGAATTAAAATGTTTTAATTCAAATTGTTTGACTTATTTTCGGATTTAATTTAATTAATTAATTGATTTAAAATAATTATTTTAATTATTTTAAAATATGAAAATTATTATTTAATTATGAGAATTATTTAATAATTGAGAAATTGAGTTTTAATTATTAAAAATTATTTAATAATTGGAAAATGGAATTTAATAATTATTGGAATTTATAATAATTATTTAAATGTCTAGTAAATTGCGTAAATGGCTCGTAGGCAAAGTGTGGCGACTGCGTCGGTGACCCAGTCGGTATCCGTGGCGAGTGAGGCCAGTGTGGATGCGAGTGTTGGTTTGGGAGCGGGGCTGCTCCGGGTTGGGGTGGTGCTCGGCTCAGGGTCTTGATGACTTAGTGGTGGGTTTGCTGACGCAGTTATTGGCTCGTTTTCCGCCAGTGGTTCCACAAGGGGCTCCGGGAGTACCTCCAGTGGCAGAGGGCTGCAGGATTTGTTCAGCCGCAGGCTGTGGGTTTGATGGTGCCGTCCTATTGGATATGATGGGGCACATGCAGAGGATTGGTACGCCGTACTTTAGGGCGGAGTTAGCCAGAGGCGGCAGATGAGTGGCGTCAGAGATTGGAGCGGAATTTCCAGTCTATCAGATGTCTGGTTTAGTATCAGGTGGAGTTAGCAGTCCACTATCTGAGTGGGATGCACATTTGTGGTGGTTGTACTTTGTTCTTTTGTCTGTGATAGAATTGTGGAGGTTCTCAACGCATGTGTGTATGACCTTGTTAGTGGGCGGTTTTGAGTCCCACGTTTTATTCGACTCTGGAGCATCGAATTGCTTCATTACACCGGAGCGTGCCGAGAAGAGTGGCATCCGGAGTAGCGCGGGCGAGAGCGCGGGCATGGTCAAGGTGGCGGGAGGTGGATTCTTGTCTACTTTGGGCCGTGCTAGAGGAGTCGAGATCGAGATTGCGGGGCAGTCAATGCCAGCAGACTTAGTCATCAGTCCGGTGGAGCTGTATGACGTTATTCTCGGGATGGACTGGTTGTCACACTACAGAGTTCATCTGGATTGCTACAGAGGTAGAGTGGTCTTCGAGCGAGATGCAGGGAGGTTGGTTTATCAGGGAGTGAGACCGACTTCCGGGAGTATTGTGATATCTGCTATTCAGGCCGAGCAGTTGTTAGAGCGGGGCTGTGAGGCGTATCTGGCGACGATTTCTATGTCTGAGTCAGGAGCTGGAGTTGTTATGGGAGATATTGAGGTTGTCCAGGATTTTGAGGATGTCTTTCAGTCACTGAAGGGATTACCACCATCTCGGTCTGATCCTTTCACGATTGAGTTAGAGCCGGGGACAGCACCGATATCGAAGACGCCTTACAGGATGGCGCCAGCTGAGTTGGCAGAGCTGAAGAAGCAGATAGAGGACCTTTTGTCTAAGGGGTTCATTCGACCGAGTGTTTCACCGTGGGGAGCACCGGTGTTGTTTGTGAAGAAGAAGGATGGGAGTTTCAGACTTTGTATCGATTACAGAGGTCTTAACCGAGTCACTGTGAAGAACAGGTACCCACTCCCGAGGATTGATGAGTTGTTGGATCAGTTGAGGGGTGCTACTTGGTTCTCCAAGATTGACTTGGCGTCGGGTTATCATCAGATCCCGATAGATGAGGCAGATGTCAGGAAGACTGCTTTCAGGACGCGTTATGGGCATTTTGAGTTTGTGGTTATGCCTTTCGGTTTGACTAACGCGCCGGCAGCCTTCATGAGATTGATGAACGACGTGTTCAGGGAGTATTTGGACGTGTTTGTCATCATTTTCATTGACGATATTCTGGTATACTCGAGGAGTCAGGAGGAGCATGCGACTCACTTGAGGTTGGTTCTGGAGAAGCTTCGGGAGCAGAAGCTTTTTGCTAAGTTGAGCAAGTGCAGTTTCTGGCAGCGAGAGATGGGATTTCTTGGCCACATTGTTTCTGCAGAGGGAGTTTCTGTGGATCCGGCTAAGATTGAGGCTATCAGAGATTGGCCTAGACCTAGTAGTGCCACCGAGATCAGGAGTTTTCTGGGTTTGGCAGGATACTACAGGAGGTTCGTCAAGGGGTTTGCTACCATGGCGCAGCCGATGACGAAGTTGACCGGGAAGGATGTCCCTTTTATTTGGTCAGCTGAGTGTGAGGAGAGCTTTAGTCAGCTCAAGGAGATGTTGACTACTACACCAGTGTTGGCGTTACCCGAGCCAGGGAAGCCTTACATGGTGTATACAGATGCTTCAGGCATTGGTCTTGGTTGTGTGCTGATGCAGGAGGGCAGAGTGATAGCATATGCTTCGAGACAGTGGCAGGGCAGTGAGCGTAACCGTCCTACACATGACTTAGAGTTGGGAGCAGTGATCTTCGCGTTGAAGATTTGGAGGTCTTACTTGCTAGGTGAGACAGTACAGGTCTTCACGGATCACAAGAGTTTGCAGCATATCTTCACTCAGCCGATGATGAACGCGAGACAGACGCGCTGGGTTGAGTTCTTGGCGGATTATCAGGTGAGCATTAACTACCATCCGGGCAAGGCTAACCTAGTGGCGGACGCGTTGAGTAGACGGAGGTATGATTCCGCAGTTGAGCGAGATGTGGAGTCTCTAGTTGGCGAGATCAGTACCTTGCGTTTGTGTGCCATTTCGCAGGAGCCTTTGGGTTTAGAGGCAGTGGATCAGGCGGATCTACTTAGCAGGATCAGAGTTGCTCAGCAGAGTGATCAGAGTTTGCTAGATGCGACGAGAGTGACTGGTTCTGAGTATGAGGTCTCTGCGAATGGGACTATCTTGGTTCGTGGGCGAGTTTGTGTGCCTAAGGATGTGGAGTTGAGACATCAGATTTTGGGAGAGGC